TTCGGGAACCAAACGTTATACGCCTTAGGAGTTCCTCATCTGATTTTGTATTCCCTTCATGAAACCTATCCAGCAAACAGAACGTTTCATTTGAGGTTGGCAAATCATTGTCGGAGACTGGTGCTACTGTCACCCATTCCTTCATGCAAGGTATACTCTTTGAAAATACCCCCTCCTTAGCTTTTTTTATGTTGTCTGCAGTCGCTTCACCCAAGCGTCCTTCGTTGGGCGAGAACATGTTCTTCCGCCGCTTGTTACCATGGCGTGACATCATTGGGGCTACGTCACTAATGATGACTGGCGGTTGTCTTGACATAGATAGAATTATGTCGACATGGTCTCTGACACTTTCAGGCCTCAGAATAGCTTTGAACGCGTACACTATTCTATGGGGGCAGGACGCTGATACCCATCCACCTGAATGAACATTAACATAGTGATGGGACACATTTGGTTTAACCTTGCTTTTAATAGTATACTATATCCTCCAGTAGTCAGAATGTGCTCGGATCCGAGCAGAGATTGTGGAGTTTCAAGCTACAAAATGACATTCCATTAACAGACTCAGTGCTGGTTCTTATGCAGAGGGGGCTGGGGATGGCTTATCTTGAAGACATTTAACGAAAATAATATTACCAAGCAAAAGCCACTGTGTTACAAAGTAAGTAGTTATTTTGCATCATTTGGTCTTGCACTTGAATGTGGGAACACACACAGCGTACACATACATTGAACAATACCCTAAATTGCATGTTTATATTAATAATATGTTTTATTCATCATTTTAAATGCAATAGTAGGCATAATTACCAGAATGGCCCCATATGCTTGAAAATAACTTGTTGAAGGTTGATTTGCTTTTCAACTTTTCCTTCAAGCTGTTGATCATCTCTAATTTGGTCCCTTTGGCGTCTACTTCCATCTTTGTACACCAGTGCCGTACATCCAGAACCTACATGATATGATATAGAAAATGTCGAAAACATGAGTGACTATGCTTATCATATCATATCATATCATATCTCAATTTGTAATATTACTACCTACGCATATCAAGATTGCAAGAATTATACAAATGTGCCTAGTTGATATCAATAAGGCCTTTCGATTATGTCATATTTACCTTCTTTTCACATAACATTTGGATCAGGAAATCTTCAGTCAGTTCCTTATCCCCTGTATCAAAATCTGTATCTTGAAGATGGGTTCTGAGAGATCGTACTTTTTCAGCTTCAGTGTTGAAAGCATTTTCATCTTTTCTGGCTAATCCAATGAAAGGAGCCCAGTTGTCATAACTAGGTGTAACACGCCCGACGTTGGCTGCTTCTGCCAGGGAATGAAATGATAAATACATTATAGTGTATATAAACAATATCCTTACAGTAAGTTTAATTTTAGTTCCCCCCCCCCCCCCCTCTCTCTCTCTCTCTCTCTCTCTCTCTCTCTCTCTCTCACTCACTCACTCACTCACTCACTCACTCACTCACTCACTCACTCTCTCTCTCTCTCTCTCTCTCTCTCTCTCTCTCTCTCTCTCTCACACACACACACACACACACACACAGACAAGATGAGTCATTTATAATACAATATGAGGATTTGCACCTTTTCCAAAACCTCGAAGTAAAATAGACGCCTCCACCGTTTGGCTCCAAAACACATCCATGTTGATTCCATCTGTAGCTGTTTCTGTCCCTGGTACTTGTGACACTGTAAGCAATACATGTTTACCATAACAGACGAGAGAACAGGGATAAGGAAACATCATTATGGGATATTGTTTGTGATCAACCATGAGATAATGGACCTTACATTTTTGCTTTCCATTTTTATATTTTGAAACTACATCGTTAATGCGCTTATACATTTCTTAGACACTGGAAGTTATAAAATAGACTTACATGCTAATGGAAATGCACATTTCCTATTTGCATCTGTCACCAGGCAACATGGAAAACGGCTACAGATGTCACAGGTAAAGTTGTACTTGTGATCGCACATTGCCTCAAAGTGCAGATATCCCTGTAACATTTTGTCTCCGGGAAAATGTAAGCCGGAATCTTCTGATAAGATATCGGCAGCCCTTCCATCGGCTGTATGATTCTGAAACCATTAAGCAGGCGAAATTGATCACATTCATTATGCCGATATTTTAAACTAATCCTAAGTTAACAGTCAAAAGTGTTTAAAGTCCGAATGTCACCGGCCCACATCAAGTGCATATATCAACAAACAATGCGCCATACAACAATCAGATATCACGATCACATAAATATGCAAAGTGTTGTTTTGGAGAAGGGAGTCGTCCATAAACTAACTAAATTAGGTATAATGTACCTTCAAGTTAACTCTGAACCAGTGGCACAGGCGAACTGACAGGAACACGTGGTCGTCAAAATTGTGTATACCATCCCTGTGCTCTTGGTACCTGTAGAAGTGACCGCACGCTTTGCACTTCTTTATGAAAACAGCTATATCTGACGATGAAATAATGTAATTAAAACATTGTAGAGAAAAGTCATATTCAAAATCATACTATTATGATACACTATACAGACAATCGCACCCTTGTGTTTTTTATGCCAACTATATCAACACGGTTCAATAACAGTTTAAATCGCCATAGCTTGCCCAGTTTCGATGGTAGACAGATTAGTTATGCCATTAGATAGTTATGTTGTGACAACTTATGACGTCACAATAGTCTGGAAAGCATTATGATGCAGTTTCATTGAAGCAATATGTCCTAGGTAATATCGCATCATCTCACCCAAGCAATATCACCTGTCGGATTACAAATTACAGTCCACATTCATAAATTGGCTCTCATTTGCTAGGAAGTAATTTTCATTTGTTTGCATAAATTGTTGTAAGGTATTTACGGTCACCATACATACCTGTATACACATGACCTTTATCGTATATCTTCCCCTTTCTGGTTACCAGATACTGGTCAAGTTCTCCTCCATCTGCACACATTACACAATGTGTTTCGATAGGCGACAGGTTTTCTAGATGTCCTAATTGGGCATTTTCCGGAACTTTAAAATCTGGTGGTATTTTCTTCCTGGACATTAGATAATTGGCCATTAAACGTGCACCTTGTCCGGATGGTGGGTATGTCTTACAGAAGCTGCTTCCGGAATCTTGTAAGGTTCGGGTTTCAAAGGTGACCGATGTTGTTGGTTCCTCGCTACGATAATGTCCAACTGATACCCCTTCATTCTCACTACAGATGTAACCGCTTCCCTTGGAGCTAATGTGCAGCAACTCTGGGTGTTCCTGTGCCAAATACCATTTGACAAGAGTCTTGTGTACGCAAGATTTGGTGGTTTTACAGCAAACGCAATTCAGCTGTCCTCTGTCCTTGAAGAATGTGACTACAGCGCGACCGAGTTTAGCCCAGTATTCCTTCGTTCCATCATACACGGAGAAATAAACGCTGTTTACAGAGTGCTTCTGCTCCCATAAAACGACGACAGGTATTTTGCTTTGTTCTGCAGTGCCTACAAGCTTCTGGGCAACCTGCATGTTAGTAGAATGTATTACCTTCTGTTGACAAAGATTTTCAGCATGTTCTGACTGGAGGTGTACTTCTTTCGGGCATTCACTTGCAAACATAACTGATTGCAAATGGGGGCACTGATAAATACCTACATTGCCCCTTGCTGCAACACCCAAAGCTAAATTGCAATTTTCATGTTCACATTGTATCTGCTGTGTGACAGTGTTCATTTGTACATGAAGTGGGTAATCTGGACCGATACTGGACTTGCTGATCATGTAGAGACCGCGGTGTTTATCAACGCATATTCCACGTTGGTATGACTTGGTTTTCACTTCATCCCGTGCATTGTGTGTCTCAATATGTCTTTTAATGTTTTTCTTAGAGATCATTGCATTGCAGACAAAACATGTCTCTTTCGGAACTTGCTCTCTCTTCACTTTTTGGATGTTAGGGGACTCTGCTGAAGTTCTTTCCTCAGAAGCTGTCTGGTTTGTTGTCAGAACAAAAGGGCAAACCGTGGTCGTGTGTCGGACAAATGTGAACTTTCTCCGAAAGAGTTTACCACACGGGCAGTGGTAATGGCACCGGTCTTGTTTCGGAGTACAATCCAAAAAGCAGCTTAACACCCATAAATCTGCAAGGACACAAATACGGATTATTATACCGGACCGCCTCCGTGGTCTAGTGGTAGAACGTCCGCCCGGTGAGCGGAAGGTCCGGGGTTCGATCCCCGGCCGCGTCATACCAAAAGATGGTACTTGTTGTTAACATGTCTGGCGCTCGGCATTAAGGTGCTAAAACAAGGACTGGTCGGCTCGGAGTCAGTATGCTGTCTCTGTGTGGGGTATTCATGTTAAACTGAGGCATGGTATCTTAGTGAGCTAGCACTATAAAATGGCATCAGTCCGGACCAGTACAAGCAGCCACTCACACAAACACGTGCATGCACGTCACTAAATAGTGCAATAATCTTCGAGGCGACGTTAAACCCCATTTTACCTCACCTCACCTCATTATTATACCAGATAAAATGGTGCGTTGGGCTTGTGAGGTTGTGTAATGGACACCGTTTTACACGTATGCGTAATGCCACGTATACGCTAGGTACATACCACGCAATATTAGATTAATAACAAACACCAATTTATACATACCCCCAACTTTGACGGCATGTTGTGTGTGCTTGTGTATGTGTCCTTCCTTGACATTGTACCGTCGTGACGTTGATTCTGGACACAGTTTGCACTGGAATATTCCATCAACTTTAGCCAGTAAACTCTTACATGTGCCGAGCTCTTTTGTGTGCCATATGTCTTCATTCTGTAGACAAAGGTAGAAAGTGTAAAATCAACAAGTTTTCAAAAGAAGTCCTATTTTTCTATTGCTTGAGACTCCAGGACACTGAGTGGTGTAAAGCCACTTACATTTATGAGTACTAAATGAAACATAACGCGTCGATATCCATTATCTTCGCCGTGCATTTATGAAAACC